GTGAGTGGGGGCTCAGGGGGGCCGCCACGTCATGCCTGGAAGACCGAACAACGCTCAGGGCCCCACGCCCCAAAAGGCCGCCCGCTTCCCCAGGGCAAAAAGCCGCTTTCACAGGCAAAACAGCTCAGCCTCAAAGGACAACCGGCCAGAGTCGCTACTGCCCTAGGGGCCTGGCAACCGACAAAGCCCGAAAAGGAAGCAAATGCCACAGTCACCTTCCAGGGGAAAGTACACGCAGGTGGCGTCTCACAGGCAGCAGTCTAAACCGTGCAGGTGTCCCTGGGCCACTTTCAGAGGACAAACCGAGTCTCCCCTGAAGATGCCCACTGTCCCAAGAGCACGGTCACACGCTGGCTGGCAGCTTCCTGATGCCAGGACTCGGAAATGGCTGAGGTGCCAAAGGGACCCTCTGTGAAGTCAGGCTCAGACGCCCACAAACACCACGTCCCCTCGTTCACTCACTTGGGACCAAGTGCTGTGTGTGCACCACGCACTACTGAGGGGCCGCGGACAGCGCAGGGGGCCAAAGGAGTCCTCACCCCCGGAAGAGACAGGCCACGCGCTGACGGACAGGGCAGTGCCCAGCTGCGTGAGCGCTGCGCATAAAGCCAAACGCGGGGATGGTGCGCTAGAAACGCTTTTTGACGAGGGGATACTTCAGCTGACACCTGGATGAAGCTGAGTAGTGGACCACTGGGGGCTCTGAGTCAAAGAACATTCCGGACACACAAAGCAAGTGTGGAGGCCCTGAGGGGCAGAGGGCTGTGTCCGGCCATTTCAGGAGCAGCAGGAAGGCCAGGGCGACTGGAGCTCACAAGGTCACCGGGGGCCTGCAGCCAGGGCAGAGATGGGGACGTTATTCTGAATGTGACCGTCACACTGTGGAAATCACTATAGGGCTTTTGACAGAAGAGGGATGTGAGCAGACTGTGTGCTTCTCGAAGCCGCAAGACGGCTGGAAGCAGGTCAGGGTGCCGGTTCCAACACCATGGGAGGAAGGGACAGGGCCTGGGCTGGGGCGGTGGGAGGACAGGAAGTGACCGTATCCGAGACGGCAAGGTTAGCTGACACAGGAAACAGGGAGATGAGGAGAAGATCGAGGACGGTGGCTGAGGGGCCCCTTGGTGCCCAGCCGGGCCGTGTGCAGTGTGGCCTTCGCAGGGAGCCAGGGGGTCGTGGATGCCACGTGGTGACCCGAGACGCTGGGTGCAGGGAAGGGCGGCTGGGCACATTGATATGCCAGCCGCACAGAGGTCAGGTCAGGCAGGAGCCAAGAGCCAGCCTGGAACGGCCCTGCAACTCCTTTTACATGACCCCACGCAGTCCTGCGGGCCCCACGCACACCCCAGGGGGCACCGCCTGATGAGCGGCCAGGGCCTGGCCACTCTCCCGTCATCAGCAGCACCTTTCAAACCCTCCCTAGCTCTGCTTCCTTTCGGGCCCGCCCCTCAGTAGCCATCACTGGAGAGCGATCCCCTCCCAACCTGGAGAGCAGCAGGATCCAAAGCGCTGCTCCTGCCCCGGGGCTGCGAGAGGAGCCGGGCGGGGACCCCAGGACTCGGACTCACGTGTTGAGGAAGCGGGTGGTCATGCCGTGCACCAGCTGCACCACGTCTCCGTGCCGCACGGGCCTCGGTGGGTTGCTCACCTCCAGCCGGTGCCTGGGGAGACACAGGCTGGCTGGACCGGCGAGCCCGGTGCCCTCAGCGACCGCACGTCTGCGGTGTCAGGGCTCCGAGGCCTCACATCGGGGGCGATGTGGGATTGTGCGGCCGCCCAGCCACTCTGTACTGCCCATGAGGTGAACGCGTGTAAAACGCAACACAGACGTCCTGTCCCACTCGTTTCTGAAACCTAAAGTCAGGCTCCAAGCTCCAGGTAGGGTCCCGTGGGCCATGATCACGTGTTAGCTGCTCTGTTATCCACGAACGCCACGACGATACACGTACTGTGGCTGCTCAGAAACCCTTCTCCGAGAGATACACTTCTGTCCAACGTCCACTCAGCGAGAGTGGATACAGGGCCCGTCGGGGCCTCCATGCTGGGCCAGGCGCCGAGCGCAAGGCTGAAAACCCAGGCAAGGCCGGCTGCCCTGTCACTAATGTAAGCGGAAAAGGCAGCTGACAAACGAGCAACCAAACCAACAGTCAGCGGCTGTGACACTGGGTGCAAAGAAGCCAACGGGACGGTGGCGCAGAGGAGGACGTGGGGCCTTGGAGGGTGGCCGAGGCAGCCTCTCGGAGGAGCCCGTGGCTGGGGTCGTTCCAGGCTGGGGGGCAGGATGTGCAAAATGCACTTCCTAGAAATGCAGAGGGCGCTGAGTGCCGTGAGCAGGAAGGAGGCTGCAGCCAGGCTGCGGGCCACGCAGGCCACCATGAGGGGTCTCGGCCTCTCTGTGGGAGCGATGCGAGCTTGGGAAGGGGCTGGAGCAGCAGAGCGACCTATGTTTTAGAAGACCGCTCAGGGGGCTGCTGAAGTCAGTGCCAGGGGAAGTGGAAGCAGACGGTTAGGGGGAGGGGAGCAAGGAAGGGGGGACCTGGATGGTTCGGGGTCCCGTTCGGAGGCACAATCAACAGGGCAGGCTGCTGGACTGGATGTTGGGAGAGACGGTGAGATACCTCCCTCCGTGAGGCCTTTGCAAGAAAATGGCTTTCGAGAGGGGGGGTTCTTGTTTCTGTACAACGGGGAGAGGGAGCGGTGGCCCGGGGGTGGGGGCGGGGAGAGGAGGAGTTTGGGACAGGCCTGCAGAGCAGCCGGGAGCAGAGACTGAGTTCATTTCTGAACGAGCTAACCCCGACGTGGCTTAGCACAGAGCTGGACTCAGAGGTTCCAGCAGGGGCCTCATCTGGCCAGGCCAGGAGGTGAGCTCCATCAACTCCACTTGAATGAAAAAGGGAAAAAGCAGCACACCCTGCCCAGAGCCCCAGGCCCTGCACGCACCTCCCGGGATCCTTGACGATCCACCAGTTGTTGACATCTTTGAAGGGGTAACAGGTCACCTGCTGCTGGTGTGAGCTGCCTCGGCCATTGTCGTATCTGCACGAAGGAGCCGACAGAGATGTGTCTGCAGGGGATCGGCGAGGGGCCAGTGGGGCCTTCTCCTGAGGTCCATATAAACCCCGCCCAGCCAGAGGCCGGGCAAATAAGGATAAAACAGACAGGGAGTTCCCATCGAAGAGGGGCTGGAGCAGGGAGCCCCCAGACAGCACTCGCGTCACTAAGTGACTGGTGCCAGAGAGCCTGGGGCCGTGCCCGGCAAGCCCCTCGCTGGCTCACACGCAGGAAGGACCAGACTCACTGATCGTCAGGCCAAGAGCTCAAAGGCTCACAAACCGCTGCACAAAGAGTGAACGTTGGCAACAGCAAAAGTACGCAAGAACATCTCATAACCATCCGACTGAAACGGTCTCTTTCCTTACATCATGGGGTAGGTGCTCTGGTGAGAATGAAGCCAGCAGGGCACAGGCTTGCCGAAGGCGTTCTTCAGAGTGACCTGGGAACCGTAGGCCACCTCCAGTGGCTGGCCTTGCGTGACCCGAGCCAGCCCTCCCTAAGACAAAAGCAGAACCGGGGAAAGCGAGAAGGAGAGAGAACCCCACTAGCCTCCCTGACGGCCCCTCCCACGTGGCGAGTATTGCATAACTAGCTGTAATGGCACATGCCACAACCCTGTCGCATCACATCATGTAGACGTAACTGCAGCCACCACTGAGTGAACGTTGCCCCTGAGCCGTCCACACACCCTCTCGCGTCGTCCAGCCCGGCCCCCGTGATGACAGCAGTTATGACTGTTTAAGAGATGGGAACACCGAGACAGGTGAGCTCAGAAATTCACCCAAACACACAGAACCAGCGTCGACAGAGCCAGCATTCGGGAGCAGGTCCGTCTGACTTGGGTCTACGTTCCTAACTGCCTCAAATGGTGTAGTTTACCCTTTTTTTCGAGTTTGGATGCATGAACGCGAGCCGAGCCTGCCCTCTGAGGCACGTGCGCCCGCCCGGAGGCGGCGGGACCTCCCAGAGTCTCCCGCGGGTCGCCCCTCGCTCACTCCGCTCCGTCGGTATAATCGCCATCACTCGCACAGATGGAAGCGGGTCCCCCATCTCCTGCTTTGGTTTTCCCTCCAGTGCTCACTGGACGGTGCTTACGTCGCAACCTCTGAGCCTGCGGGGCCCTCTCCGAGGTGGCCGTGGCCCCCTGCTTACCTCCAGGCTGGCCTGGAAGGCACTGGACATGATCTGGTCGTGGGGCCCAGAGCGGTAGAGCAGCATCAAGTGGACGTAGAAGAAGAGCAGGTACATGGCGACTGGCACGACCACGAGAGCCGCCACTCGGGCCACCAGGTGACAGAGCACACGCACCTGCCAGGGGAGGAGGGAAGCTGGGCCCACGTCACAGTGCAGGCGCCCAGAGCCAGCAGCAGGAGGGCCGACGCCGATGCCCACGGGGCGGCTCGCCCGGGCCTGCCCTGAGGCCCGTCCGCCAAACGCTCCCGCCCCGTCCACCTCCGCACCCCACACCGGCCGGCCATCCCCACACTCGCCATCAGCACCCACGTGTGACAAAGTCCGGTCCCCTATCAGATGCCAGGCGTGGACGGCAGCGACTCCGAGCACCAGCAAGTAAGTGGAAACCCCCACGTACTTGATGCTGCGAAGACCGATGGGGAGGAAGTCAAAGCGAGACGCAGCATGGGGAGGGCGCAGGCGCAGCCGCGGGCCCGGGGACCAAACTCACCCGACTGCACAGGAGCAGGCCACCCCCGTCAGCGTCAGCCAAAACCACCAGCTCAGGGAGAAGGGCCTGGGGGCAAAGCGGAGAGGCAGAGCTGGGGACAGCTCCCTGAGTGTCCCAAGGAGCCACGTTTCTCAGACACCTCTTGGGGTCGGGGGCTGTACTGAGCTTCAGGTGCAAGAAAAATGAACCCTCGCCGCCCCAAACGTCAGTCTTGGCAGAGTATCTCTTTTTGGCCATACATTTCTCCAGCCGGGTGAAGTTACAGAAAAGCGAGGGTGTGTTTATGAAATCACAAGCCCAAGGCCAAGGTGGCCTAGACCATGAGCGAGCAGCTCCCAGCATGAAGTGGCATCAGCCCTTCTCCGGTGGACAAACCACCGACTCTTCTTCCCTCACTGATGAGGAAGGACACGCCCCTTTTCCATACCTGTGTTTTTGGGAATTGGAGAACTTCAAGTAGGACAGCACAGACAATAGATTAAAAAATATGAGCACGGATTCTAAAAGCATCAGCCTCGACTGAGTGATGAGAGCGTTCTCTGTTGGAAAAATGAGATACGTCAGTTGTACGAAAATGAGAGCAAACATGTGAAGATGAAAACGCCCACACAAAAAAGCAGACGTTCTAAATGTCACAGATCGTGAAGGTGGGAAGTTCGGGGTGGCTGTAAGGGGACAGGCTCCAGAACCACGAAGGCAGATTCTTAGAAGTGAATCACGCCTGCTGGTACCTGTGTGACCCTGGGCAAGTCACTGAACTTTTCTGAGCCTGTTCTTATTTGCAGAAATGACACCACCTGGCAGGCAGCCATCAGTGCAGGGCCTCAACCAGAGCTGTCACTCAACAAACACCTAGCTCTGCATGGCAGTTAATGTTACTTGTTCATGAACCTGGACTGAAAGGCCCTTTCTGAAGACTACCCACCTACGCCCTCCGCAGTCCCTCTCAGCCGGCTGGGGCCTGGGAGGTGACGAAGCCACGGAGGTTGTCTGTGAGTGACAGATTTGGTTCGAGGGCACCTAGGCTCGCTGCTGGGGCCACCCGCTTCATGTGGCCGCAGTTTCTAATGCTGTCTGCCCACCAGTTCTGCAGCCCACTCTGGGAGCGGGGTGACTCCCAAACATGGAGGGATCAGATGACCCTCCTCCGTCCTGTGAGCAGAAGCTGCCACAGGGGCCCATCCACTCACCCGAGCTCTGTGGGCCACACATGGGAACGTACCGGAGGCCAGTGCTCGGTCACAACCCTCGCCACACCAAAGCAGGCAGGCCCGGGTCTTACCAATGAGCATGAGCAGAGCAGCTCCCATGGCGGCACAATGGGAAAAACGAAGCTCCCACAAGATCTGGTAGGCCATGGGGACCGACAGGGCCCCCGCGAGGGCCGGCAGCAGGCGCAGAGACCACACAGGCACGTTGCTGCTGTACTCTAGAAAGCAAGCACCGCGGAGCTGAGTGCACCGTGCACCCCACGACAGACCACAGGTGCTTCCGCACAGACTCTAAGACGAAATTCCTAAGACTGGGGACCCCATCAGGGACTGCGTGTGCAAGTCTGGCTTTGAAATGAGCTTCATACAGTCAAAGACCAGCTCCCGTTAGGCACAGGAAATGATGGCCGTGGATCTGAACTAGCTAACGCTGTATTTACAAGTTTATCCCACCCAGTTCCAAAACCTCTGTGGCAACATACAAAATTTAAATGCACAGAAGGTAACCGCAATCAGCTGCCACATAGTGTACTGTGCATACCACAAAAGTAGGAATAAATTATTGTAACTAAACACTAAGATGTTTCCCAGGCTTTTCAAAAATCACTTGTACTCAATTTATCAGGCCTTGGACTCATTAATAAACCACCGTCATTAATTTTCATGGTAGCCACCACCTCTCCATTCTAACATGTGCACGTTAACGAGGGACGTGACAAGGATCTTTTACCTGCTCCAATTCTGTTCCACAAAAAGTTACCATCGAAGCCTCCTAAATAACCTAAAAAAAAAAGAACCAACCAGTAATGATGCCTTCCAGCAACATTTCAAGAGTGCCAAACTGTGGCCCGTGACAGGAAAACAGTGGTAAATAACAAGATGTGGATTCTGCCCTCGAGAAATGTCACCTATAAGTTTTAAAGGACCCTACCTCCCAAGGCCAGCAGCATGTGGCCAAATGGCGGTCCACTGCCATCCAGAAAGAAGACCCGCTTCATGTAAAAAGAGATGTACTGCCCATAATACACTTCATCGAAGCTGAAAAACAAAACAGGTCATATTTCTCCATAATCTTAGCTGTGAACAAGAGGCGCTCTCCCTAGTTTTTGGTTTAGGGGTGTACCATTAGCCAGCCTACTGAAAGGCCTCAGGGACGCGAGGCTAATCCCCTTGTCCGCCAGCACATCTGTGGCTAAAAGTCAGAATCGGACCTGGTGACCCAACGGAACAGCTGCAGGTATAAAAGGGAGACACGTAGGAACCGATGGCAACAAAGGTTTTCAGGTGATGACAAGAAGGAACTATCTTTTCAGGCCTGAAAATGCCTCTGTGGTTGTCTGGTTTTTAAGAATCCAGATCTTTTAAAGCTATAGACTGAATTATTAATGAATGAAATGATGTCTGTGATTCACTTCAAAAGAAAAAACAACCCACTGCAGGGAGAGGGGGTGGCTGTGAGTTGGTAACTGCTGAAGCTCGGTGATGGGGTCCCTGGTGAGGGGGTCATTATACTATTCTCCCTACTTTTGTACATATTTGATGTTTTCCATTATAAAATGTGAAAACAAAAAAGGACACGTGTATTAATCGGATAATCAGCAGTCCTTTGACAATAAAAACAATCATTTTTCATGACGAAAGACATGCTAAGGTCAATGAGGACAAATTCCTCAAGCTTCCATCCTCCACTCTCCAGGTTTTAAATGGTCACCTGAGGATACTGTACCTGCTGCAGAGCTAAGACTGAGCAGGTGGACTGGCAGGGGCTTTCCCAGGGATGGCCCAGTCTCTCCTCTAAATCACCCAACACCAAGAAGCCCGGAATTTCGCTCCCCCATTTACGCTACTTAAAAAGGCACTTCCTGTCACCACACTGAAATCACAGCTCTTCTCAAGTCACCCTGTTTGGCTTACACCACAGCCCTTGGATAGGTGAGTTGCCACAGTCGGCTTAGTAACCCCAGCAAGGTCAGGGCCACGATGTTCAAGTTGACATCAGCTGTCACCACCACCGGGCGCTGCAAAAACTCCAACATATTGTAGAAATGGAGGACTGGCAGGATCCCTGGAAAAGAAGGGAAGACCTGTCGTCAGTAGATGGGGGCAAACCAGGAAGGCTCACAGAGGCACCAGGGAGAACCACGTCGTAGGGTCGCTGAGAATCAGGAGGCCTTGGCGGCCCAACCAGGTGGGAATTCAGGAATCTCAAGACTGAATACTCACTCATTGAGCAACTCGGTCCACACACACCTGCCGAGCGCTTCCTGGGAGGCAAGCCGCTGTTAATGAGATGGCCTCCGCAGCCCCTGCCTGGGCAGTGTGGCCGGCTTACAGCCGCGTGACCTCTGACTTCTGGGCCTCGGAGCCCCACCTGCCCTAAGCATCTACCTCTCTTCCCTCCTTGGGGCAGCAGCATCCCCTCGCGTCCCCTCGCTCACCCTCAGGACGCATCTGCACCTGCTACAGAGCTAAGACACACCGGGCACTCCCGTTTCCTCTCTGAGGCTTCATCTTCCCTTGAGCTCCACTTCTCTTAGCGCTACATCTGCCTTGGACGGCCCCGCCACGCCCCCTGGCAGGCCGCCGCCCCTCTTCCCGGGCACTCGCTCTTTCCCCCGCCCCCCGCTCCCCCGCCGCGGGCTGCATCTGGCCCGGGCCACGATCTTTCCCAAAGGTTTCCTCTGCCCCTGGGTGCTCCCCGTTGTTTTCCGGGAGCGCCTGTCCGAGACTGCC